ACTAGCCTTTTATCCGCAAGACAAAATTATGTTTCAGAACTCTCTAATTACTTACCCATGAAAATCAGCGTTATGCCGCTGAACCACTGAGCCACGTAAGAGAGAACGTACAAGCCTACCAACAACTGTGAAATTAGAAAATCATTACGTTACTTGATTGGATGGGAAAGTATCTAATTTTCTGATAAGTTAGAAACGTTTTCATTTTTTTTACGGAGTTAAAATCCTCTGAAAATAATTTCATCCAAAACTCCTCTATTTTGTATCGAGAATTATGTTTATTGTAGAGAGGGACCTGGGGAGGCAGCATTTATGCAACGCGCGAAATTTCTGACACGAACTCACTTTCGCGTCAGCTCGTGCGCGCGTGTACGCTGTGTGAGTGCGAGTGCAGTCACTATGCATGCGTGAGTCAGAGCGCTTGACTAAGTGGCATGAGCGAACACGGCAGTAAAGTAGAGAAATTAATAACTTAGTAGGGTAAAGTAGTGGGAGTCTTAGTTAATTAGCCAGAGCTTCTGTGAGTCCCAGTTTTTTTATGACCTGCAGGTTGTCTAGCGTTTGAGAAACCCTGGCGATTTATTCATAACACAGGACGGTTATGAAAGCATGTGAATGTGGTTACCTTTTTTGATTAAAGGTACGTGAAAGGGGTACGTTTTCTGACAAACTGGTATACAAAAGGTTTGGGTTGGATCTCGGGGCGAGCCTCCCCGGTATAAAACTTTGTAGATTAGCTCCCTCCCTCAGGGCATCCTACCTTCAGAGAGTCAGATAAGTCATCGACCAAGAAAAGTCCTCTCAGCTTTGTAGTCATGGAAACAGCAAACTCAGCAACTTTTTCACCGAGTTGGTCAGCCTGTTTTGGGATTTTGAAAAGAAAACCATCACCACAAAATTCAACCACTGGTGCCTTACCCCTCCCCCCTCCCTCCCCCAGTCGAGTGTTCCATTTCTTGCTACACTGGTTAACATTGTTTAATCTGCAAAATTTCTACTTACGATCAGTGTTTTTTATTTGCATGTTACTTTCTCACTTGAATTTGAAAAACAAGTATTCCAAATAGAACACACATTTACGGAATTATAAACCACTGATACTTACCTTATCCTTAGATACTTCAATGTCCTTCGATAAATATGATCTGCAATTCAAACAAAACGTAGTTGCGATAATTATCATATGACTCAATTTTTTTCGGAAGTTGTGTTGCTTCAGTTTTGGAGAATGACACGCGCGCACTTCAAGAAAGAATATTTAAATATTCGATTTATCTGAGTGAGTTTGCATAGAAAAATCATCTGACCTATAACGACTGAAACTATTATCTTTGTAGTTGGGAGTTCATTACTTATTGGTGATAAAGTGAATGCAGTCAATCTCGGAAGAGGTTAGGTTTTTTCCTTCATTATACACTGAGGTTTGCTGTAAATTCTAGTTTACCTAGCTCCTAGGCCTCGATATTTCGCTTCGGTCAATCGTTTTCAGGTCACGTGGCCCGAGGCGAAAGTTTGTGTTACTCCCCGTCTCGGACGATAGGTCATCGAAATCGATTGACCGTGAAGGCCTGAGAGAAAGCCGTACAGGAACTAGGCAATACTCTAGTCATGGCCAGCTCTAAAAAGTGTAAATGTTTCTGTAATATGAGGAAATGTTTTAGCATCTAGTTTATGAGACTCTCCCCCCGTGTCTTCGGCTTTGTAATGTGCTGATTTAGTTGTAACATGTGACAAGAAAATCACAGACCACTTTTACTTATCATTAGTGGCCACTGACCTTTTCGAGAGGAAAGAAAAAAAATGTCTGGCCACAGTTTCGCAAGTTGGGCGAACAAATCTTCCTACGTTGAAGCGCTCCTATTAAGTTTACGAGTTCTATCATGCAATTAAAAAATGGCTCCAACTCTAGTAAGTGTTCCGAAAATTGAGGAGACATTAGTGTGACATTATCAAATGACGGCAAAGTCCGCTCCCAAAACCGCGGGGGTACAAGTTTCTTACCCAGCAAAAAGAGCTAAATCATGTGTAGCAAATATATGAATAAGCTTGTTAAAAGGAATATACTCTTCCATATTTAAAACGCAAGGAACCGGCAAGGCATACTTGAGCGGGTGTTCAAATTCGCTTCTCAGAAACGCTGATCTTGCAGTTAACAAAAGTCGTAGGGCCAACATCGGAGCGAGGCAGACCAGCGCTATGTTGGTGAAAACGCTGACCACACTGAACTGTGTCAGGCAGACAAGGAGAACAAAGNCATAAGAGAGCCATCTGAGATTCAACTGAAAATCCATGCATTGGCAGTGGTTGTTCATAAACTGGAAAAACTATTAAATCAAAGCCAGAAGAGAGAACTGAAATACTGGGAATGTTTCAGTTTGAATCTCTGTCTCTCTCTATGAAATGACCAGAGGCATACTTCTCTAGCTAGTTACAGTAACAAGAACTTGAGAGTAGAAGGTACAAGATTTGATTTAAAAAACCACAAAGATGCGAAGACAACATATTCTGGAGGTCAGTTCACTAAACCTCTGGAAACTGCTGTTGACTCTAATGGTATTGTGTTTACTCCCACCAGACTGTCTTGAACACCAGCAATACTAACACTTGAGGGCGGCAAGTGATGCGGAGAACTTACAAGGGTACTCTCTCCACTCCCCATAGAACCATTTTGAACCATGGTTGGTAACGGCGAATTCTGCATTGATGGGCTTCCCTGCTGAATGTTACTGTACATGGGAGATAAATTGCTGACGGAAACAGTTTCAACTTGCGACGAAACACTTGATGCAATCATTGAGGGATGTGTTGTTACAGCTGACGAACTCTCTGATGCTGACACGGTACTGATATGGCTTGCTGATGGAGGTAATGTTACAACCACCATTGTGGTTGGTGTGCCTGGTTGTTGTTGCAAAGTGACAGTTCCCGGGATAACTGTGGTCCCTTGCACATTAGGTATTGTTATAGTAGTTGGTAATGCCACTCCTGGCGGCACAGTGACTGTCGCACCATGAGGTACTGCCTGCATTTGGACGGCTCCCTGCATCATGGCCGCCTGGACAGTCACTGGTGCTGGTGCTATTGGAATGGTGTTGAACTGACTGGGAACAAGATTGTCAGGCCAAAATCTCTGCGCTGGTCTACTTTGGATTTTTGACTTTTTAGCTTTCGGTCCTTCAGGATTGCTGGCATCCAACATGGGTTGTAAAATACGACGTCTTGCATTGATAAACCTAGACACATATCACCACAAGTCAGTCACACTGAGATAACATATCTTTAAACTAAATTAACTTTTGATTCATGCCTTAGCAAGTATCTTCAACTTACAATATACATGGGAAGTTTGGAGAGCAGAGAAGAAGCATAAGGCTTTTCTCATAACATGAACATGCATATGCATCATTCAATTATGAAGCATGCTTATGTATTTATACTGACTCTGATAGTGCCGCTTTGCCAGATATGTTATAAAATGACCTTTCATATGCACAAAATAAAAAAGTGTAGATGAATAGATGAACTGATGAATTGAGAATAGGCAACAGAAACAACAGAAATTCTTGAGAAATTGACAAAAATCAAACTTGCTGTAGCAGTGACATGCTTACCAAAATATTTGGATTTAAAAAGTAGCTGAAATAAACATGCACAGGCATTAGTTTTGTAAGGAAACTGACGTTTATTGAACATTCATTTATCTCTTGCCAGTGCTACACAGTATACTTTGACCCCTTTCAACATTTAAAAGGATTATAATACACAGCTTACCAATTGTTGACTTGGAGTATCGTCAAGTTTGTCTGTGCAGCGATGGTTCTCTTCTCATCCTCGGTTGGGTAAGGGTGCTAGTTAAGAACAGAACAAAATAAATCCGTTTTCTTAAGTGAATAAGACAATAGATCACAGTCAAGGAGTACATGGTTTTCAAGTCACAAAATTTCAACATGAGAATTGTTACTAATAATTAGTAAAAATTCATGCCACATGTGTTGTGAGGTTCCATCTAGAGATGTCTAAATCATGGAGTGTCCATATCACTGTGTCCACAACAAGAGGTTAATTAACTATTCTAGAGGTGTCCATAAGGAGAGATTAGACTGTCGTGAGGTTCAGAAAGACAACATTATTGCAACAACTCACCACAAGATGCTGAAAAAGCCATGTCTTCATGATATTTGTTGCCTGCTTTGGTAAAACCCCTCGTCTTGTTCGCTTCTTGTCAGTTACTTCTGTTGGAGAATCCAATGCAGGGAGCGGAACACTAGACGGAACAGTGATTTCAGTTGGAGATTCATCTCCCGAGGAGTGTGTCTGTGGTCTGGGTGGTGTCACAGTCTCGATCGCTGGTGTACTCACATATGTCACACTTGCCGGCACTGTAGAGTATGTCATGGTTGCCGGTACTGTGCTGCTGGTATAAGTCACACTAGTTGCCACAGCTGGTTGTTGGGGTACCTGTGCTATGACAATCTGCTGCCCAGGTGCTACTCCCTGGGGAACGTATGTCACTGTTGCAACCTGCTGTTGTATTGGAGAGGCAATGACACTCGCACTTGGAGTTGCATTTGCCACAGTACATGGTGTCACAGCTGGTGCAGCATAGTAAGTAATTTGTTGCTGTGGAATGAAAGTCGGCTGTTGTGCCTGGATTGGTGTTGTTGGTTGCTGTTGTTGTACATTTGAGTTTATTACATTTACTGCAGGAGAGTAAGCTGTCTGAAGAGGGCTACGTAGTAAGTTTTCACTCTGCATTTTCCCTTTGAGACAAGCTATGTACCGCTGGCAAAAATCTTTGCATAGTTCGTTGACTTTTTCAAGTTCAAGGAGGTGAATTCTGAGGACTTGAATAGCTTTCACCATCTGTTGATAAAAAGATAATGGTAAAAAATGAATTCTGCTGAAAACACTCAATAAAATTGTTTGTCTCTATAGAAAAAAATAATAAAAATTTCATTGCCAATCACTCTCCCTTTCAAATGGTAATTTAAATTTTAACAAAATAAAGTCAATGGGTCTTTGAAAACCATGAATTATACACAAATATATCAACCTTACAGTAATGTACGTCAAAGAGCAGGTGCTAGACAATAATATTGACAAGTTTGCTGCAATATTATAACAGCAAATTCACATTGACGAAAGTAACTTAGACCTCGTTCAATATATACATTTGCATATGCAAATCACATTTTTATTGAATTTGCTACCCTTTGTGAAATAAATGTTAGACCAGAATTTCACTATATAAACTTAATACAGTTTGCTTTTTGGGATAGAGATAATACATTTTAAAAAAATCTACCAGCGGTTAAGGAACCACAAAAATCAATTTCGCCACAAGTGAATTTTTACCAAGTGAAAATCACAAAAATACTCAGCTACAGAAAGCATTTTCATCCAAATAAAATCGTAAAAAAATGGCTCAAACCTACACTTACAAAGGAGGCCTCTAACATCCATAATTAGACTAAAGTTAGCCATTATAAGGAACACAACCTAATATTTAAGGTGGTGTGCGAAAAACTACATTTCCAAAATAAGATCAAATTCATCAATTTGGCGACGAGAATTCGACTTCAGGCGCCATTTTAAGCTCAACTTAAGCTGGATTAAAACTTATCCCAGCCATCGCCAAAGCAGAAAACATTATCCGTGGTACCTGCACAAGAACACAGGAGAAGTGCGTGTTTTCAATAAAATAAGTATTCCACCCGCGGTTCTCTAGACATAAAAACATGGCGGGCAGTGAAAACAATCGAGAAAAAGATCGGCTTGGAGCTCAGAGACAACACCAAGCTTTGACCAGCAAAGCAAAAACAACGAATTCGTTGATTACAAAATTTGTATCGATTTACGACTGAACGTTTTAATCCATCAAAATATCTCTTTCTACTTTTGATAGTGTTTGTCACGAGTGACCTAAAAGTTTTAGGGGGTTTAGCATGTTTTGAATTTGTCCACCCACGTCAAGGAATAACTCATGATTCTAAAGACTCGAACAAGACGAACTAAAAAATATTCTTCTCACCAAGTTGTCAAGGTCTCGATCGTCGGTGTAAAAGGGTTTTCCTTCCCTGTTCATCTGTAAAATACCATTCTTGATCTCGTTGTCAAAAGCGTTAGCGGGAGAGCAATCGCATGTCTGTGTAGATTGCTCGCACTTTTCGAACAGCTTAGCAAGAAGAGGCAACAAGGGATGTCGATAAATGGCTTGCTTTTCTGCCTCCATGTTTGTGATCTGTTGCATATCGACCGCTTGTACGGCTAACTGGGATTCTTCATAAGATGGAGGTGGCATCTTTTCAGGTTGTGTCTGTTGTAAAGATATGGTTCCGTAATGAGTTGAACCAGCAATGTTTTGTTGGGCTTGAAGCATGTGACTTGGAGCCACTCGATTCGCAAGCCCTTCCATTCGATGGCTGCCTCTACGAAAAGAGAAAACACAAAGTTATATGCGGAAGGCATGTTGAGCGTTCGTTCCCGGCAGGAAGACCAAATGAAATGATAATCGTTCCAGTGTTAATGTGTTTGTATGGGAGGTTGAAAGGACTTACAATTGGTCACTATTAAAAAGAAATGCACGAGGCGATGGAACAGCGACGGTGTCACTCACTCATCAACGTCAAAAACTCTTTTTGGCGCGGCCTTGCCTTGCCTGATTGACAGCGCCAACCGACAAATTTTTACATAATTAGTATTGTCTTCATGCTAATATATACCCGTCGCTCACGGGGGAATAATTCTGAGTGAATAATTAATGATTCTTTTCATGCTCCGATCAGTTTTCGTGTCTTTGAGGCTAATCAGCTGCAAAAACAACATCGTTGTTTATCGTCAAATTTATTGCCGCAGGCGCGCTTCGCAGCAAAACTTAAGCAGACAGTAAATTTTTATTTCCTCTCTTGTTTTGTTTCTTTTCACTCTCACACTCAAGTCAAAAATCATGTTTCTTTTGAAACCCTGCGAGCGGTTTTGCTAATTGTGGGAGGTTCTTGCCAAGTGTTTTGACAACAAAAGGTCCGAGAACGGGTGGCTTCACAGATATGCGGCCAGTATATTGTGGGCGTGATGTATCGGCATTCAAAAACATTTCTACAGGTCAGTATGTCTATCACCACCCCTCACCAAACTACGTACCTACCCCTCCCCTACTAGTCCTGTTCTGACACCTGCTCCTCCTGGCTCAAAACTGAGAGATGAAAAAATCAAGTGAAATAAATACTATTGATTTCCTATTTCTTTCTGGCGAGAAACAAAAATTTCAGAGAGGCACCAGAACCCCGAAAAGAAAAAAGAAAAGAAAAAACAGCTAACTTGTTTTCATACTTCACTACTAAACTTCGAGTTTAAATAATTGAACAAAATCACCTAGTTATATGCCTGCCCACAACATTGACATGACCATTGTATTAGACCTTGATAATTTCGTAATTTGCAGCCATCAATAATAAGGTGCAAGTATGTCCTAGCACATGATTTACGCCTTATGTTTCATGAATAACTATTTTCGTCCCGGATTTTCATCCTTCTGCGAAACGTTTTACAAGATGAAAGGGAATCCTGTGACTGCCAGCGAAACTGCCATACTCCACCCTGGAGAGTTTGACAACCAGTCAATTCCATCTCTTCGGGACGTGCGTGTTTCGCCATGGACAATAACATTGACGCCATTTTCGCCACGGATAATAAACATGACACAAATTGTCAGTTTTGGAAAAGCTATGATTGACATGCTCTCTCGAAAATTGTTTGGAATGAAATCATTTGTCAAAGTTTTTTAGATAATGAAAGAGTGACAGCCGACTGATATACTCAATACAAAGTATGTCTGGAGTAAACAATTAATCACTCTTTGGAGTTTGGTGAAAACCAGTGGAGCGAGACTGGGCAGAGACGCGAAAAATAACGAAAAGCGTAACGGGCTTTGCCGAGACCTAACCAATACCGCTACTTCAGTGGGCTATACCATACCCGTAAGACTGAAATGGAGTGGAATTGAGAAATTATTCAGTTCTTTTCAAGCTTACGAGAATAACAACGGTATTACTATCCTTGTTTTATTGCTCCCTATGTACATTAAAATACGTCTTTAAAAAAATAATATAATAACATACATCGGTTGCATCGCGAAGAAAGGATAAAAATAATTTAATTACAACCTTCTAAACGTATATATTTACAACCCTATTTTGATAGACATGTTTCCGCGGGAAACTCTCAGAGAGATCATGCAGTGACTTTCAAAACAAAGACACTTCATTTGTCTGCACTCAGATACCAGCATGGAATTCATAGGATTCCATTTTCAGTTCTGTTTGGAACTTTGTTTGCGCAGTGGATGAAACTTTAACAGCTATTTGTTTCTTTTTCATTTTTCGAAGAAACTTTGTGAAGTAAATAACAGACTGACACGTCTTCAGCTGACCGACAGACTAACATAGACAGACAGATTTTTAGGCTAACGGACTGACTGACTGACACAGACCTTAAGACTGACTGTCTGACTGACTGACGGACGAATGGACAAACGAATGGACGGATGTACGGACAAACGGGCGGGTGGACGGACGGACAGATTGATGACTGATTGCCTGGCTGACTGACTGACTCACGGACGGATGGAAAGACCCCGGGGAAAGACGGAATGACTGACTAAAATGACTCCGCTTACAAACAAATGAGCTACACTTGAAGGTCCAAGAATACTAAAGATCGAACATGCTTCTTTGTTTTTCGCGTTCTAGCAGCTCTTGGATGTCTTCATCTAGATGTCCTGTCAGTTCTTCCAATACAACATCCAGTGCCTAAAAGAAAAATGCAAAGGCTTGTTTAAACTGCCGTTGTGTCAACGTATTTACAGAAACCGCACGATTTGATGGGATCACATATCAACTGGAGAGAAAAGACTCTATGAAAGTTCGTACAGGACCAGACTAGCCCATGAAATCTGTGGCTGAAATCTTGTACTCACCACATCACAGAACACGTCTTGGTGAAACTCTCTCACAGCCGAGTTACTCTGCGTTGCTTCTTGCTCATCATTCACCGCTAAATACTGCTGAGTCAGTAATCCACAAATCATGCCTGTGCGAAGACATGGAGTTGTAATATAGTCAGTTCGGTATCAATTTGAGGATATACACAGGCTAAAACACACGTTAGATGTAAGGAAACTTCTTAGTAGCTTATGATTATTTTATGTTAAAATAAAAGACAGTTCTTTTCGTGTCGAAACACGAGGTTCCCAACGACGATCTTGTAACAGCAAGGACTCGCGACCTAACCGGAAGCACCATCCAAGCAAGGCATGCATCGAAAACAACTTTTATAAAGGACAGATGAATTTTACTCGTGTGTCTCACGATTGAGACAGTGATAGCGACACGTAAACAGTCGACCTCGTCGCCTGATGAAGACTAGCAGTATAGCAGTCGAAACGACGCGATCTATATCTCAAAGTGACTCTATCGTGAGACAAACGAGTAAAATTCATCTGTCCTATCTTACACCACGATGATTAATAGACACATCTTTAATGACAACTTTTATTAAGTCTAAGGCAATGCCAAAAAACAAAGTCTCTGTAATTTTCTGATTACGGTCAGATCGTTCCATGATTAGATCGTTCCAAGTCAGATCGTGCCACAAAAAATTCAGATCGTTCCACTTATTGAAAGTCGAGAAAACATTCTTACTGGATGAAAGTGTAACCAAAACCGTCTTCTTCCCTAACTGAATTCAAACAGTTAGAGGACCTGACGTGGTGCAAAATAGATTGTCTGTAATTTTTCTGAGGAACAGGCAAATTTATGAGGCAGTGGTTAGGTCTGTTTAACGGACAAAGAGTTGGCAAACTGGGCATTTACGTTTGACCGTGGTGAGACCATGCTACAAAAGGCAGAACCGATCAGAACAAAGCAGTACTGAACCGGGAAACCAGCCTGCAGATGGTTAACTTACCAGCGCCGAGCGCACCGCAGACATTCAACCGGTACCAAGTGCGGTAAAACACTCGACCAGTGGCCAGTGTCTAGTGTAGGAAACAAACGGGAGAAAAACAGGCAAAAGTGCCAAGCGCGGGAAAAACAATGCAACCCGTGGCAAGCGAGGGAAAACGCATGGTTCGTATTGGTTTTGCTCTTAATTTTTGCTCCTCAGAATAGCCAGTTTTCCCTAAGTTAACAGATTTTGCTGAACGAGTCTTCTTTCTTTACAACTAGACCTTAACAAACAGAAATCCAGAGCACAAACAACTGCTTCGAAAAATCAATCATCTCAATTAAAAACCACTTTTTTTGTTGACTTACCATCTAATGACTGGTCTGTGAAATCTCTAAAGTACAATGAGAGATTATCTCCCGCCAACTGACCCAAAAGATGCTGCAGGCACAATGCATCAAGCATGTGATCCTCAGCATAAGTAGAAACCTAGCGAGAGAACAGGCACGTAAATGCAGTGAGCGGATTTGGGGAAAAAATTTCGGACACTACGATGAAACATAACTAAAGTAAATTTACGCCTACAAAACACGGATAACAGTGAAACAACAACTGTGAAAATGATAGGTTTACTGCACCCTTAAGGTGTTAGAGATTTACCGAGGAAAAAATAGCACAAATTTTATCTAGCCGTTACGTGTCTCAAGCAGCGTCTCAACTAAAATTTGCCTAATAAAGGAAACTAAGAGCTTTGGAGTTACTTCAAAATTTTATACTGTACTGTTAATATTTCGGACACTTAAAAATTTCCGGCGGTTTTATTTTCGGACACTATTTCGGAAATTAAAATCGTCTGCAATTTTTCGTGAGTGATGAACCATATCCTCGCGCGTCAAACTCGCGCCTTATTGCACTCGCGCGTCAAACACGCTCATGTGAACCCCTCATGTAAAAAAATAACAGAAAGACGATCAGTTTACGGCAAGTATTTGTCATGACTCTAGAGAGTTCCTCTGAAACGTACCTTTTTAACTTGCTTATCTCTGTCAACGTCCACTACATCACGCCAAGCTTCGATGATAACTGGCCTCAACTGAGGTTCCATGACCTCATCAATGATGTCATCGATTACCACGTCAAATTGGAAACCATGCATGGCTTCAGTCACCTAAAAAAAAATAATAATATAACCTTTATTTACCCTCGGCAATGTTTATAGCACAAGTGCTAGTGGGGCCGAGCAAACTACTGAAACAAATAATTCAAATTGAACATAACATTGTTAAGAATCCCAACTGGCCGGAGGCAAACCAGTTGGTTATTTACAAGCGTAGCCGAGGATTTGATCTTGGGGCTACCGAGAAACAAATTCAGGTAGTGGTCAGAGCGGGACTCGAACGCGGGACCGCTGGATTGCGAGTCCGACACGCTGACCACTCGGCCACGCTGCCTCCGACCTGTGGTAGGTATAGAGACTTATGGTATCAGCAAGCAGTCTACAGCACAGACGTCTGTCAGCAAGGGTTCGCTAACGTTACCAGTTTAATTTGGATTAGTTACAGTGGTACAAACGCAATTGCTTCATAAATTGACGAAGGATACACTCTTCTGACTCACTTACAACACAAGAAATCCCAGCCTTGTGGAGTTGTCATGTAATCGGCGCAGATCACGTGGGTGACCAATTACAGGTATCCAATTTCATCTTTTTGAGGCTGGATACTTATACCATTCCCATGTTAATTAATTGAGTTTTAATGGCTTCCTTCTCAATGTTCCCTACAGGTTTTACAACTTATGGAAAACATTGCTGACTTTTTTGCTTCAAAGAAGAAGCTCAAAATTGTTGTTAATGCGGGTAATTAGTATTGGACAGAGAGGAGTAAAATACAGGAAATAATCATCCTCATAGTTTCAAATCAGCCTCACACTGCACTTGTTAGATTTTGAAATTACTTGCACAATTATTCCCTGAATTGTATTCCTATCAGTCTAATGATCAATAAGATTATGAGCTTGAGATTTCTATCGCCTGATAGAAATTGAGGACAAATAATCTAATTGTTTTAGTATAAATCTACTAGTCGTTCAAAACTTTATTGAAATCTACTTTGAAAACGCCAAGAAGCGGCCGTCATTTTGTTAACAAGGGCACACTGCTACACTACTCACTATCTAACACAGAATAGATGGTGGGTAGCGTAGCCAATCAGAGAACGGCATTCGTGATAGAACACTAGTTGATTTATACTAATTACTCTTGGTATAAATCTACTAGCGTTCTATCTATTCTTTGTTAAATAGTGAGTAGCATGGCAGTGTGTGCTTGTTAACAAAATGACGGCAGCTTCTTGACATTTTCTAAGTGTCTGTGAAGAGGATTTAGATAAAGTTTTGAAGGACTTGTAGACTTATACTAATTAATTAGATTGTTCGCTCTTGATTTGCATGCGTGATAGTTGTAACACGATAGAAATCTTGAGGTCATAATCTAATTACTTATTAGTAATGATGGATTACCTGCACTTGGAAAATAAATAAATGTATATAGTAAGACACTATCACTTATGATGGCAATCGCAAGTCACCTCTGAAGCATAAACACTACAAAGAAATTCCCTAACCACTCTTGGAAGCATGGGCTGAATTGTCTCCAAAATTAAGTCCTCCAACCAGTCTCCAGATTTGATGACAGCCATGTGACCTACCACTACCTCATCTACTGCAGAACGCACAAGTTGAACTGTAGATTCCTTCACAACTTCATTTATGATATTGTCACACACTTTAACAAGAGGATCTCTTCTAGACAAAGAACTGCATGAGAAAAAAACAGTTATAACAAAGTGTATTATCGTTTGTCTCACGATGTAGTCACTTGAGATGTAGATCGCTACAAAAAAAAATCATTAATTTAAATTAGTATAAATCTTCTAGCATTCTATCTTGAATGCTATTCTCTGATTGGCTACACTACTCACTATCTATTCTGTTGTAGATAGTGACTGGTGTAACAGTGTGCACTGCGGGTTGCCTCTTTGCATTTTCAAAGTGTTTTTAAGAGGATTTAGATTAATTTTTGGAATGACTACTAGATTTATACTGAAACAATATTACTCACTATTTGCTCTTCATTTCTATGATTTCAGGCTGCACTCTTGTTAACTATCATGCAATAAAAATCGCGAGCTCATATTCTAATCATTAAATAACTGCCGATGCAATGTGAACTATTTCATATCAGACAGGTGTGTTGATTGCTTGACTAAAAAAGTCTCTCATTTTTCAAGGGTTAGTCAAGTGATTGAGCAGGTGAGTGTGTGTGCAAAAATCACTTCACAAAAGGATGCACACCACACAGAGGTTAAAAAAATCTGCCCCAAAACGTTGCATCTCCTCCTTCTAGGTGAGTTTTGCATATAATATCACCTTGCACAAGGAAATGCAACACACAGGGGTAAAGATTCAATAATAAAGTTCTCGGGCTTAATGCATAACATTTCCTCATGGATGGTGATTTTTACATGCATTTGTTTGTTCACCCACTTGACTATCCCTAACAAAAATAAGAGACTTTTGTCATAGTCTAACTGATTCTTGTGAAAATAATATTAAAAAATTAAAATAACAATTATTATTTATTTTTTAATTATCCATTATTATTACCTCAGGCACTCACCTTCCCCCTTGAGAATAAAACACTCCCATAGCAATTTCATGTATAAAAGCAGTAACATCTTGATGAACGATTTCTCTGCAAACTCGCTCACTCACTTTGTATCTTGGATCTCCAATTGACTGTCATTTAAAAAAGAAAAAAAAATCATACTAACAAATAAATAAGTTATAATGAAATTGCAGAGAGAGAATAGACAGCAGTATTTCCAGATTTCCAATAGAAAACTCTTGATGCCTACAAATACCTTGGAAAAAATATAGAACACATGCAAGGAGTGTTTTCAGATATATATATTTATAACTAACTATCTAACTAACCATATATATCTAAAGAGCCGATTTTTAAGTAAGGTGGATAAAACCAGGGAAAGAAATTAGGAAAGTATGTGTCATTATGCTCACCAAGAAATTTTGACCAGAGAAAACATCAATTAAGATATCTGGAATAATTTCTTCTGTAAGAAAGCTGTCAATCAGTCCTTCTATAAATCTTCTAGAATATTTCTTGTTACACATGTAACGCCAGAGTGCAAACTGAGGGCCCTGTTAAATTGAAAAAAGAATGTACGTGATAAATTAATTATGTTTCCACACTCTGCAAAGATCAGAGCTATGTCATTTCTCTCACTATATGGCTGTAAATAACGCAGACTGTAACTAATGTGAGCCATTTGAGGGAGAGAAATCGCATAGCATTTTATGGTTGGGGATTGGTAAACCCAAGATTTTGCAGAACAGCAACACCTCTATCTTTTCGATGAGCCAGAAACTTTCTTAGCCCTACAGATAGAATGAAAACTCTGAGACAGTGTCTGAAAAAATTCAAGATGTCAAGAGCCATGACATTAAACGTAAATTCTGGGGGACATGCATTATTGGAAGGACCATTTGCCACCCTTATTAAGTCTCTATAAGATTATAAAGAAACAAATGGAAGGTTGATTCCTTTTCGCAATTAAAATAAAGTACAAAAGACTGCTTCAACTTACATTATTCACAGCCATTTTTCAATCCACTAAAATTGTCAAAAGAAGTTAACTGTTGATCATTCATATATAATAATATTATTATGGGTACCTTTCTAACTCGCCAGCCTCTGATATATTTTTGAAGTATTACAGCCGCTTGAGAGCGTGTTAATTGGTTTGGGGGTCTGATGAGAGAAAAATATAGCTATTAGGAAATAAAAGAAAGAATGCGTTCATTTGTCATTCCAGAAAATAAACAATAGACATACCCTCTCCACTGGTAAGATTCGTCTGGTTAGGACCCCTACCTTACCTGTCAGGAAATTCCAGTTAAGCCTCACACTAAACTTACCAAATTCTGGCTTTTGAGACCCTACACCCCTTAAAATGTCATGTGGCTTTTCATGGATATGGATATTTTCTCAAACTTCACAAAAAGTGCAAACATGATTACATCATGAAAACCCAGAAATTTGAAGTCCATAATTCAAAACAATGAAATTGATGAAATAACCAGTTATGACCTATGTACTAAAGTGGAACCTGCCTTACAGCCACCCATTAATACAGCCACCCCGTTATTGATCTGGCCAAAACAAAAGTTCAGTCAGTCTTTTTTCTTATTAAAAAAAAAAACCCTTCAATAAAGCCACGTTGGTGACCAGATTAACAGGGCTCCACTGTATTGAAAATGAAATTAATGGACTGCTTTTTTACCTTATCTAGCAAACAACATAACATTAAAAAAATAAAAAAAACTTGAAGGAAAAGTTTTCAATTCCTTACCTTCTGCCATTACTAGGGCCATAGTTCATGCCACTGAAGCCGTGTTGAGGTACAAGCCAAGGAGCATACCCAGGATGAACTGGGACCATAGGGACTGGGTACATCAGAGGGGGGTAAGGTAGGGGTGCCATGGATGGGTTGGGATAGTAAGATTGCAGTGCTGAATATGTGTAATCTCCATATTGGTTTTGAAGTGCTTGCCTTTCTTGTTTTTTGTTCTTTTCCTGGGTATGTACATCCCTAGTGAAAATGCAAATACAAATTAGAGGAAGATTTTAACAGACTGATATAACATAAAAGGTTGATCTGTTAATGGTACTTACAAAGGACAATCAAAAGCCATACAAATCAGACACAAATAATTATTGTATATTTGGACTTGTGAAATGAAAATGTAAATAACCATGTAATGTTATCAATCAGTCCCATTCAGCATCTAATTGCAGAATGATGATTCAGTATTCAAATACAAAATTTTACGTTTTTCTTTATTATGGTTTAAGCACACTCAAATGATATACATTTTTTTGATATGCCTCTTTTAGTGCAGAGTGCACTACTGGGATGGTTTGGGGGCTGATGTCCACTAA